GTATAGTATATGTGATATTATATAACACAAAAGAAAGTACATTTCTACAAAAACTTTAATGGTAAAATTCAAAATATAATAATAATCAAGTATAGGTGCTTTGCAATATAACTTTACTAGTATAATTGAAAAGAATAATGTTTGGGGGGTTACATATCACTTAATTAGGGTTCCAAGTTAGCATTCCCTCTTATCAAATTAAGTACAAATATTCATTTGTAAAAACCTTCTAAACTTGTGGTTATACCAAAACAGGTGATAGGCCAGATTTGGCCCACAGGCCTTTATCTGCCAACTTTTTGTTTAGGAAATCCTTGAGTTTCTATTTGAAAATATGCATTTTTAATAAAGTAATGCAGGAAGCTATCATAAGCTGTTTTCTGTAGAGATTGTTATGAGGTTTTTGTGTGTACAAAGGCAAAGAGGAAGGAATTAAAAATTTGAGGATCTGCGGGGCGGGGAGGGGAGGTTGGGGGTTAATGGGGGGAATGAGGACACATGTGTAATACCTTAACTAATAATAATAATAATAAATAATTTGAGGATCTAATGGAATCAGGTCTATGTATGTAGAAAGTGGGACCACCAGACAGATTACAGAGACATATTGTTCAGGGACTTTGTGTTTATAAGAGATGTTCATTATGAGGAATTCCATTGCAGAATTATATGTGTGATGAGTAGAGACAGTTTGATTACCACTCCCTTGGACAGTGAATGGGTAAAGTGCGGTGGGTGCACATCACAGATATTGTGCTGATATCAGTTCAAGCAACAGATAAATTATACACATAGCAACACAGAGGAATTTTCAACATACATATGTTAGTAAAAAACAAAGAAATGCAATAAACAATACAAAATAAAATGAACACATCAGTTATTTAGTTTAAAAATACATGCAAACAGAAAAGTACACATCTTGTATAATATATTTTAAAAAAAGAGAAGATATTAAATAGCATATAGTGGTTGCCTATGAAGGGGAGAGATTTAGAAGTGATAAAAAGGGAAAAAAAGGACCTACATATCAAAATGAGTGAATGAATGGATAAATGAATAAATAAACAAATGAGTGGGACTTACCTAAACTAAAGACAATAGACAATAATAAAAATATTATGAACTGGGGGAAATGGCTGACTCAACCTTCTGCACCTGAGGTCCATTAGGAGAAAGAATGCCCTACAGAAAGCCCTTATAACATATGACAAGATTCAACTGTCCAGAAATGGAATAGAAAATTTGGAGTGTGTCAGTTGGCTGACTAACAGCTAGTATCTGGGGGCCAGTCTCTCATTTCCAAGGAACGTTATTCCAACAAACAATTGGCAGTGGTTCCCTAATAGAAGTTCCCACATCCCTTTGGAGCCTTCTGTGCATCTGGGTATGGACGACATTCACAGGATGTGCATTGCATGTATTAGAGACTCTTGATTTCTTCAAACTCTGAGGGATAGGATGCCCTTTTAGAAGTAACATCCTGTCTTCCCTTATGACATTTCAAAGTTTATTATTGTGACTTGGGAAAGTAAGATGGGAAGAAAATTGGATATAGATGCGGAAGTCACTTTTCCCCTTATTTCTCTCTGACAAGCAGAGCTTCTCACGTATGAACTTTCTGAGCTGGGGTGTGGAGAGAGGGGGAAATAGATCCAGAGTGTATAGGACTCTTGTACTTCTTAACAGCTGTTTATCCAGTTGAACAAAGAGGGAAGGAGATGCAAGTAAGATGAGTCAGAGTGGTTATGGCTTGGCTCTGTGGAGACCGGGGATTGTCATCCTGAGGATATGGTAGTGAAGCAAAATGATGTTTAAGATCTAACACTAGCTGAGCTGAATCACCGAAACTCTGCATTGAGAAGGAGGAGTTTCTTAGCCAGGGCAGGGAGAACATGTGGGAGCAGGATGGGCCAAATTCACACGCTGGAAATATTGCAGCTTCCTAAAAAAGTAACTTAGAGAATGAAAAAGTGAACAGGAAATGGGGAAATTCCATTTCCGTATGTTGTTTCATTTTCCACTTCTGTTCTGGTAGAAAATACCAGCATCTCAGTTTGAATAGTGTCAACTTTCATCACACTTATTATCTTGGTCTCACTGCAAGATCAACTCATTTAATATTTCATCTCAATTTTGTTAGTTCTTTATTTGTCTGGAGCTGTATTTTCCTCTATGATATGGGGTAAGTGTGGCTGAGGAAGGACATTTTTAATGTTATTTTATGTAAACCAGTGTATTTTTAAATTTAAAAATGGAAGCAAATGTAAAATATAAAGTACTTCTCTATTAAACACAACTTTATTATTTTTGTAGGACTACATTCCATGTTAACCATTGGAAATTTAGCATCCAAATTGAGACGTGCTTTTAAGTGTAAACTATATACCATATTTTGAAGAGTTAGTTTTATAAAACAATTTAAATGATCTCATTAATAACTTTATATAGATTAAATATTAAAATGATAATATTTTTCATAACTGGGCTGAGTAAAATATATTATTTAAATTAGTTTACTTTTCTTATTATTTTTTTAATATAGCTACTAAAAACTCTAAGCTACATTATTTCATTTCTATTAGACAGTGCTAACCAGGAATAGAGATTTTTCTAAACTTGCATTGTCTAATACTGGAGCCACTAGCCACAAATGTGTTTAAATTTAAATTAGTTAAAATGAAATAAAATAAAAAAATTTACTTTGTCAGTACCAATCATTTCAAGTGCTTGGTAGTCATATGTGGCTAGTCACTGCCCTATTGGATAACACAATCTAGGACATTGAGGTAGATTGGACTGTTGGCCTTTAATCTTAACCTCTTCTGGAAGCATACCCTTTGCCAGGTAACTCTTCAGTTTCCTCCACTAACGGTGCATTATAGAACATTTCCGTCATTGCAGGAAGTTCTATTGGAGAGTCTACTCAAGTCAATGAATCACCTACCACTGGGAAAATTCATTTCAGAATTATATCCATAGACAGATGAGGACCAGACCGCCAGCTCCAGAGTGAACGGCAGCCCCTGAACAGCCCTCCATTGACTAGAGAGTGACCTCTAGGTCCCTTGTATGTCCTTTACAATATGACCCCAAGTATGTTTTATCCTTAATGTCTATGCTGTCTCCTTGTGCCCCACTGTTGCCACTCTAGTATATCCTCTTGTGGAAGCCTTCTCACCTGCATTGAAGTAATAACTTTCCCTCCCACAAACAAAGAGAGAAGTTAAAGGTAAATTCCTAGGGCGCTGGGGAAAGGATCTACAGGAAGGCAAGTCTGCCCCACTGATGTCTGGGTTCTTTCATCTTAGTTTTTCCTGAACAGTACCTAATAAACTATGCTTGTTTTTCTTGGTAATAATTAGAAGGGGGAAAAAAACACCTTAAATTAATAAATTTTTAAAGCTTAAAAGTTATAAATGATGCTAAGGCCTTATTTGGAGATAACAGGACAGAGGGATTGAGCAGGAAGTTTTTTTTTCCTCTTCCTGTATTATTCCTGCACTGAGACAGTGCCTGTACATAAATAAGTACTTGATACACATTTATAGCTGGATTTCTTTCCTTTCCTTTTCTTTCCTTTTCTTTTCTCTTCTTTTTCTTATCTTTTCATCCTCACCCAAGGATATGTTTATTAATGAGAGAGAGAGAGAGTGTGTGTGTGTGAGAGAGATTGTTAGATTGCCTCCCTTACACCCCCTAACCAGGGATCAAACCCGCAACCTTTTGGTGTACGGGATGATGCTGTAACCAACTGAGTCATCTGGCCAGGGCTATAGCTGCTTTTCTTTGGAAGATAGATAAAACTCTAGAAGATCGATTGATAAACAACATTTATGGCTACCTGGCCCAAGGTGAAGAAACAGCCCTTGAGACAACCTGAAGTAGGTTTTCTTTACAATAATATCTATTGTAATAGTTTATCAATATGGCATTGATAAATTACTATATTGCAGTAATTTACAATGAAAGGTAAATATGCCATAATCCCTACTGTCAAGAGATTTACACTCTACAGCGAGGTCTCAACTCAGAATGATTGACATTTTGGACCAGATAACTCTGTTGTGGGTGCCTGTCCTGTGTGTTATATGATATTTAGCAGCAATCCTGGCCTCTGCCTACTAGATGCCAATAGACCTCCCCACTTCCCCCACCTCCCACCAGTTTTGACAACTAAAAATATCTCTACTTATTGCTAAACATCTCATGGAGAAACACACTGTTCTAAAGAGAGAATGAGATGTATATATAGGAAAGGGTTCTGATATAATAACAGCTATAATAGAAACACTAACAGGGTAAAATGAGGGCATTTGGAGGGACATTTTCTCCCTGTGAGTGCAGTTGGTCAAGGAAAACTTTCTAAAGGTATTATCCATAAGATTCCTAGCCCAGTGCTTTCCCCATTTACCTGCAACTCTGACCTTGGGTTAAATGTTAAGCACAAATATGTATGTGCATGTTTTTAAAAGTTAAAATCATCCCAGTGATGTAAAGATATGTGTGTCATGTATCTACCAATACTTAACCCACTTTATGAATTAATATGGGCTTTAGGTAAACTATTATTAAAAAGTCAGAAGTCCCAAATCTAATATTTGACACTATAATCTATGACTATATAAATGACTTTGAAGAAATTATCCTCTTATTAGTTAATCTAACATTTTTATGCATTACACTTCCATAATGGCTGTTACAAGTATACAAAGGAATAAGACTAGTCTTAGCCAAAAAGTATTTTATAATCTAGTTGTGGAGTGAAACATAAATATACGAAAATTTTAATAACCATATGGAAGTTAAGAACTGTAATGGGATTGGGTCTCACCATTCTCCAGAACCACCTAATTTCCATTAAACTAAATTTTACATTACACATCTCTCCACATCATCTCCTGAGAGTTAAAATTGAAAACCCCCCATTTTATTTATTTGGGTGGAGGTAGATAATTCTTTCTTCTGGGTCAGTTCCACAGCAGCATGCAATTCCACTGGCAGAGGACTCTGGTCAGTTCTAATGAACTTCAGGAAAGTCCCAGGGCCTGGTGGATTTCCTTCTGGATAATTCATTGGCAACTAAGGAGGGAAATTGACAGATGTCCACACATTACTACAATGAAGTCACTCTAACTTGGCTTCCCCTTGAATGACCAAAAATCGACATATAACCGTGGTGCTGGTCATTCATGCTGGTTGGCATTCCCAAAAGGCTGGCCATGCTGACATTTCACATAGTCCAACAGTTTCCCTTGAGTACAGGTGTGGGAATTGAGGAATGGCTTTTCTGGCTTTTTTTATCATTCATTTTTATAACCTATATTTTACATGGTACTGTCTTCAGAATCAAAAGCCTATTTTGAAGGATAAAAATACAAACAAACATTAAGCCTTTCTTATATTTTAAAAAATTCTTGCTCTAAGAGTATACTTTTACTCAAGGTAAGGTTGATGCCTTTGAATGAGCAGGGGGAAGGTATCGGGAATAAAATAGCAGAAAAGAAAGCTTGGTGAATAATAGTGTAAGAATTTAGTCTCGATACATAGGGAGGTGCCACAGAAAAGGTCCTCTATGGGCTGGAAGGAGAAGAGAAGTCTTCTCAGATGGGGAAGGACTTGAGTTATCTCTTTTCTGATAGTCAGATTTTGGATATAAAGTCATAAGAAGGGGTGTTAGGAGTATTTTCTGTGTGAGCAAAGTTCCAGAGGCAAACTATGTTCAGGAAGAGGAGATGGACCAGCCCAATTCTAATATGACAGAAGACCCAGGAAAGTTCTTTCCAAAGAGGCCTGATAGACTTCTGATCTAAAGTCCAAAGACATGAATGTGAACCTGTCTGCCACTCTCTAGCTCTAAGATCTCAGGAGAGTCATTGAGTCATCAGCCCAGCATCAGTGTCTTCAGAAATCATATGTAATATATTCTGTCCTACCCATCCCACAGAATCAAATGAGCTCTGGTAAGAAAGGACTCCGTGACTTCTTAAGCTCACTAGAATTGGAATTCATCAGTTCGCTGTGGAATTACCATATTGTTAAAGGTGTTGAAACTGTAGAACTCTTGAGATATTTACATATGGGAAATGAAATAAGAAATAAAATTTCTTTCTCAATGGCAACAATGAAATGTATAGAGAAGTTTAATTTAAGGTATCTTTTGCCCTATGTTCATTTTTCATTTGGAATCCCAAATTCTATGTCATTCCACCCATGGCCCACTCATGGCCCTTCCTGACCCAGCCCTGTTGACAGCCCCCTTGGTGTTTGTTATTATTTTTGTACACATTTTAACGTCTAGCCATCATGAGCTACTGTAGGTTCACAGAAAACTACATATGAGTGTGTCTCTCTATTGTAAACTTTGCTTCAAATGCAGTTCCCTTTCTTCTCAACTTAAATAATAAATCTTGAAGAGTCAGATTAAGTGTTACTGCTACTGTAAAGCTTTATCTATGAGTTAGATAGTTAAGCCCCTTCCTCATATCTAACTATACTATTTTTTACTTCAGTAACAGTAATGGCAGTAAGATCTGCTATTTATAAAATGCCTATTATGTATTAGGCAATGTATAAGATTTATAAAAGCTCTTAATTATCCTCACAACAATCTCCTGAGGCATTGCTTATATTACTTTCATAGTTATTTTCATATGTGTTCACTTTTTAATTTCAGCAATTATAGCATTTTTTAGCCATGTGTACACTTAATATAGTTTTTTCTCCCCCTTACCACCTTATTATTAGACAGGGTATTTTAGAATCAATGATACTTTAATATGAGTGTACCACGGTTTTATCTTTATTTCCCAGATTTGGAGACTAAGATACTCAGAGGACACAGAGATGAACAAAACTAAAATTCTTCCATGTGAAATAAGCCAGTATTTTCAAACAATGAGAATAACTACTTAATAGAAAAGCAGTGTGAAATGGTTCTGGAAAAACATGGGCTTGGGAGTGTAATGTTTCGGGCTCAAGTTTTAAAAATACATGACTTGGGCAAGTTACTTAACCACTGTGTTCAAGTCACATGTATTTCTTTTAAGTAATGAATCTCATTGTTTTGAAAATCCTGGCTTATTTGTCTCTGACCCCCATGAAGTTGTGAATTTGTCAAGTGGAAGAATTAACCTTGTTCATCTCTGTTCCCTCCCTGCTAGCCCACAGACCCAGGTGAGGCGCTAGACTAGACACTATATCTGTTGAGTGAAGACGCGATTGCTTCTGTCACTGCCAATGTCACATTGTTCTGGTAAAAGCCTGAATATAGCAGGAAATATTCCTTAGCACTCATTCCCCGCAGGAGAGATGAGTAGCCAAAAAACTGGTTGCTGAGTGTTTAACTGCTTAGACAGAGGAAAAGGTGGAGGAAAGAATTTTCTTAAGGACAAAACTAGTTATCATCTCATTTTGAGTGTTCCAGGAACAGAAAAGGCAGGAAATGGTAGATGACAGAACCTTCTCATACCCTGCCCACCTTCTCATGGGGCTGGGAGATCGCAGATCCTTTCTGGAACACCACCATATGAAAAACAGCTGCAGTTTAAATGTGGAAAAAGCGAAGTTCAGTCTCGTTGGGAAGTAGTTTTGATTAACTGCAGAAAGAAACACCCAGCCTAACTACTATTATTAAAACCTGCAGCAGGGAATAGAGAGGGGGGGATATAATTACACTTAAGCTGTAGTTCTCAGCCTATTGCTGACTTTTAGTTATCACAATTCTTAGCTCTATTTGAACTTTACAGTGAAACTTAATGAATCAGAGAAGCAGGAAAAAAAATAAGAAAGGCTCAATGAACTAAGATTTAGTTATTTTTATTAAAGAACAACAAGATGTTCAAGGGAAGTAGCATTTGCTTTGAATTATCCACAAGTTGGAAAAAAACTCTTATCAGAATAATGAGATGTTAGTTTATTACACAAGGCTCATGAAGCTATTTGTAGCTTTTTTTCCCCCAATATAGGCCTTATTTTTTTTTCATAACTCACTTTAAATAGAATTCAAACACCAGAAGTCTGTCAGCAAAATCAGGGACTTCCTGTTTTGTCTTTAAAATAAGATGCAACTCCTTTAAATAAAGTTGTTAATGTCTTCACCATCCTTGTCTACACGCTGAAGCCCAAATTGCAAAGGCTGGAGGACATATGCCAACTCAAATCACTTCCTGAAAAAATTAGGCAGCATCAGCAAAAGTGACTTGGAAGAGCCTACAAATAATTGTACATCTGTTACACATTTTTTCTTTTCTAAAATTACAAATGAGGATGTGGTGTGCCATCCGTGTCAATAATATGAGGCCTGCAACTTCGGGAACATGTGGATCGTCTCGCTTTGCTGATAGGCCAACGGGACTGAGGCTGCAAACTGTTGCAGGTCCTATGATTCTTGGCACACAGTGTATTGACACAAAATTGGTTCTCTAGCCTAGAGGTTCCCCAAGAGTGTGCCAGTCATATATGTGTCGTAGGTATTGATGTCCTTGGTCCTTGGGGAAGAAGGTAGGATGTTGGGTAGCCTGGTCAGTGGCCTCAAGCATCAAGCATCTTCCTCCAGAGCAGCGGTTCTCAACCTGTGGGTCGCGACCCCTTTCACAGGGGTCACCTAAGACCATCCTGCATATCAGATATTTACATTACGACTCATAACAGTAGCAACATTACAGTTATGAAGTAGCAATGAAAATAATTTTATGGTTGGGTCACAACATGAGGAGCTGTATTTAAAGGGCCAGAAGTTGAGAACTACTGCTCCAGAATGTACCCAGGCAGGGATTTTTGTGTGATTTAATGAGGAAGTCCTCCCAAGGAAAAACCTGCAGTGGAGTGAGAGAAGCAAGGCAGAGAGGGAGAAGTTGAACAAGGTGGAAATTGCTAGTGAAGTCCCAGACTCAGCCTGATTCTGCAGGAAGCTCTAAAGCATAAAGCTTTTGTCCCACTTGAAGTAAGGAAGCTGAGCCGCCCGCCCCCCCCCCTCCCCGCAGTAGACACTGGCTGCAGGCTGCCATGGAGGGACAGAGCTGCCAAGCACAACTGGTTCTCACTAATCCTCTGAATAAAATTGCAGTGTGAGCCCTAAGAAGCAAAGTAGGAGGATAGGTGCAGAACTATAAAAGAGACCTAAGTGTTTTCAGGTAGATAACCACAGTCTCTACTGTACCTTCAGATTGCAGTCTGGAGTAGGGGGTAGGGGGCTGAAATTGTTTCCAGTGGCAGCAAAAAAAGATGATGAGTCATATGTGGTCTTCAGTATGCAACTTGGACAAACCTGGATTTCTGACTATGGAAATTGGGAGATAAATGTGTGTTGCTTTAAATAGTTAAGTTTGGGGTACTTTTCTATCTTTGTCTTTTTTAGAATGTCTTTTTATTAATTTCAGAGAGGAAGGGCGAGGGAGAGAGTGATAGAAACATCAATGATGAGAGAGAACCATTGATCAACTGTCTTCTGCATGCCCCACACTGGGGATCGGGCTCGCAACCCAGGCATGTGTCCTGATCAGGAATCAAACCATGACCTCTTGGTTCATAGGTCAATGTTCAACCACTGAGTCATATTGGCTGGGAAGTTTGGGGTGATTTGTTGCATAGCAATAGGTAATCAATTGTAGAGTGTTATATTAAGCAGTTGCCCAGCCAACCCACTAAGGATCCATAATGAGAATGACAGGGGTTGTTGCTATAACCCCTGATACCTTGGTTTTTTTAAATTCTTGCAACAGAATCTAGCCTACCCTGCAAGGGGATAATATACTTCATTTATTTATTTGCTTATTTAGTGGTCATTCGTCTCCCACACTGACTGTAAGTACTATCAGGCGGAGGATTATGTCTGTTTTGCTCCACTTGCAATAACTTGTGCCCAGCGTGGTACATAACATATAGCAGATTTTCAATAAATGTTTGTTGATGAAATTAATAAGAGACAGAGGTATAAAAATAACTATTATTTTAATCTAATTTGAACATATTACCTGTTTCTGCCAGTTTTAAACCAACTCACACATTACCCCAAACTTCCCCTAATATATTAAATAGATTTCAGTTATATAGAGTCTTAGAAGTCCCTCCAAGTACATGTATACATTTGCATTTGGAGAAATGCCTTCAATATAAGGAAGACTGGAGCTCATCATTGTGTTTGCTCAGGCTACACAGCAAATAGATTGACAAAGGAAATGGACTGGATTATTCTTTAAAAATAACTAATGTAAAACAGCTTTTAAGATTTATGAATGAGAAGATGAAAGAAAATAAAGTGAAAGCTGAAGAGACTATTTTGAAGTGGATGATTGACAAAAGGAAATCTATTGAAAACAGAAGGCCTTGCACTATACAAACCCAAAATGGGATTCATTAAAAAACAACCCTAAATGTCAAAATAAAAGATGGCCCAATGCAGCAGGTGCACCATTTGGAAGCAGGGAGTTATAAGGTTGGATGGGGCTCTGGTGCGAGTTCTGGGCAGCTCCTGTGTGTGCTCCTGACATTCCTGTCTTCTGGAAGATGGGCTGAGCTGGGATGAAGTTGGCTAGGCTAAACTATGGGGTAGATGAGAGTTGTTCCTTTGGTCATGTGACCTACCTTATTAGCAACATTGTTATGAGAATTAACAGTAACAGCAATTGCATGGGGAGGTAATTTAATAGAAGGTGAAAGTACTGAAATGTCAATGTGGAAATTAGGAGCAAATGGCATCCAGGGTAGAACCACAGGCACCTGTCAAAAGCATCACAGTAGTTAATTTCAATCCATTTTTGAAAGACAGACAAGCCTTTGTGCTTACTTCTGGTGCAAATCCACTTATCATTCCCCTAATGTTTATTAAGTGCTTTTATGTGTGATGCATGAGCTAGGAACCAGGCATTCAGAGATGGAAAAGTATGTCTCCTGTCCTTTGTGAACTCACAAATGAATGGGTAGACATCTAAACAAGTAATTACAAGGTGAGGAATGTATACATCACTGGAGAAGCACTGACAAAAAGCAGGCTTCAGTGACGCTCAGGGAAGGCTTCATATGTAAGTCATTTATTTGAGGTTCATATTTGGAAGAAGCAGGAGAGAAAGAAAGGTATTTTGAAATGGTGTGTGTGTGTGTGTGTGTGTGTGTGTGTGTGTGTTTGTGTGTGTGTGTGTATGCAGGGCTTTATACTTGTCTTTATTTTGTAAGCTTGATATTTACCTTCAGAAACCTCCAGGAGTTAGCAGAAGGTAGAATAAGTTGGATAGGGTCATATAACATAAATGTGATTTCAGATCCATTTGTCAGAAAACTGTAACCTTGCTAATCACATCACTTACTACTTTAGTGGATGGTTCTATGGCAGTAGCTGCCTTGCTCATTAAAATGTAAACTCTCTGAGAGGGATAGGACCTTGAAACACATTTAAGTAATTCCTCTCCCCCAGCAAGTAAATTGGTCAAATTTCTTCTTGAGAATAGGTTTAGATAGAAATATGGGAAAGAGCATGAAAACCCTGGGTGCTCATTCATAGGAGAAGAAGAAGATTGGGATAGCATGTATCATCGAGTGTGGGGAAAAGTACAAAACTTTATAACCGATTCCATTACATCGTGGGTGGTCATAATGGTGAAACTTTTTCCTCAAAGATCAATTATAGACTAAGCTAGCCTTTGCCTAGAATTCCCTTTGCCATTTTTCCTGATTTGTTTCAGTGTAGTTGTCTGAGATCTGTGGTCAGCTTCAGTTCATTGGCTCCTACCATATTTCAAGGACAGAGACTTTCCATGCCCTCAGTCTTTTTCCCCGTGGGGAGACTAGCCAATGTGGAGTAAACATATGGGCTCAATGCTTAAGGATGCTTTGCTTCCCATTAAGTTCACAGATGTTGCCAGATGAACCCTTCCTTGCAACACACCTTGACCAGAGAGAATCTTACAAAGTCCTGGAAAATGGCTGTAACATATTTGCTCATCAGAAGTGTATAGAAATTGGAAAGTTTGATCAAAAACATTTGTGTGTCCTGGTCTTGTTAAAACAGCCATCACATGTTCTAGGAGGCTGACATAGACAAATAGTCTATGAACCAGGAAACTGGACTTTTTATTTTGACGTGTATGTGTATGTTTTGCCAGAATCATATTTTTAAAAAGAAATTCTATTATCTGGCAACCAAGGTCATACTCAGGATTACCTTTGTCCAAATACTTATGTTGGTTCTTGAAGGTAAAGTTATAGGAAAGCCCTGCTAATTTTAATACCTCTTCTAATGTTTTACCAGCTAGCTGAATGCTAGAGTCACAGTGATTTTGAATTGATCCCTCACTCTATTTATATGACCTTGGGTAAGGTGCTTTTTTACAATCACAGTTTCTTCATCTGTAAAACATAAATGTTATTAGTTTATCCTGAATAATATTGTGTGAGGAAATACTGTAAGGACATAAAATACTTAGAATTTCTCATGCATAATAAAACTTCTACATTTTTTCTATTATTATTGTTAACATAAAGAGGTCATAAGGTATCTTATTTGGTTGTTATTTAAGTACTACAAGGTAAGGAGAATTGTTATTGTCATTTAAAAATTTAATGAAGAAAAAGAAATAGAGAGAAGCTAAGGGGCTTGCCAAGTATTGTAACCAAAACACAGTCTTGGCTGCTTGCCACAATAAAAGCCAAACTCTTGAGACAGTTGCTAAAGGAAAGTGGTTTATTTAAGTACCAGCTACCTAAGAAGATGGGGATTCTTGTCCCAAAACCCATCTCAACATCTTAGTTCAGGCGGACGTTTTTATAAGGAGGAAGAGGGAAAGCAGAACAAAGAAATCAAGGGGAGAGGGCTGAAAAGTTCTTTATGTGCAGACCAGCACAGTCCATTCTGGTAAGGATGTTGAAACTAGTCAAGCGATGGTCTGATGTGCATCACCCTGTCTTTCACCATCCTGGTTTTATTTAATCCTGGTTTTACAGTTGAAGGTCAGCAAGTCTCCCAGGGCTAGATGACTGAAGATAGGAGTCTGTATCATTTGAAATTAGTTCCTAGAATTATTGTACAAACATGTTGTAATTCTACAAGTTATCTATTAGTCAGAGTCAGCATTTATAGAAACAATGTCAAAAGAATGGTGAGGTGGGTTATAATTCACTGCTGTTACAGTATTGTATCCCAAATTAGTGGCAGAAGTGAAACTCAAACTTCTTTCTTTGAACTTCAGATCATTTAACTATACCTGTGCTCCAACTTGACCATGAGTTCCACAGCTTCCATCTAGGGGTAAATTTCAAAACATTTATCAAAATGTAAAAGGTCTAGGATATGGATTTTCATAAGCAGATATGGAAGTATTTCGTAATTTTACTACTGCATATAGTAGTTAAAAGTTAAAAGATCAGTGTGGCCCTGACTGGTGTTTCTCAGTAGTTAAAACATTGGCCCATACACTGAAGGGTTGAGGGTTCAATTCCAAGTCAAGGGTATATGCCTGGGTTGCAATGCAAGTTCAATACCCAGCCCCAGTCAGGGCACATGCCGGAGGCAACCAATAGGTGTGTCTCTCTCACATTGATATTTCTCTCTCTCTCTCTCTCTCTCTCTCTCTCAGTCTCTGGCTCTGCCTAGCAAAGGGTTCATCTCAAAAAAGTAAACTTTAGTTCCAGTATATTATTTGAAAGTGGAAAATAAGACTAAACCAGAAGATTTTTTTTTTATTAAGCTGATTCCATAGTATAATATTCATACCCAATGCTATTATTCTGTCTGGCTCTAAGGCACCAACCTACAAGTAGGTATCTATCATTTTTCAACATCACAATGCAAAATATATTTGTGGAAGGTTATTAACATTTAAACTTCTCTGATTAATGTGTTTGGGTAGTGGCTGCTTTCACTTTTTCCAGTTTTATAGTAAATTTTACAATATTTAGCCAGTAGCTCATGTGAGGTGGCTAATGAGCAGCTATGTTTTTCTTTTCTTTTTTTTATTCTTTTTTTTATTGCTTAAAGTATTACAAAGGGTATTACATATGTGTCCATTTTTTCCCTCCACCCTCTACTGATGGAGATAGTGGGAGGGATTTTAGACAAAGGCATAAAGAGAGAAAGAGATAAGGGTATCCATGTTGTTAAACATAGTTCAAATTTAATCACATACTCTGCCATTTATCACTGACAATCACTTTTTTTTCCTGTATGTATACACTGCAAGCAAAGTTTCATTGGCTCGGACACCCATTATTTCTTCCTTTCTATGATATTGTGATTTATAATAAGAAATATACATTGTTCTTCATCCCCATTCCTTGCAGAGATCCTAAACCCTTAGAACTTCCTAAATGATAAAAGTGATAAAGGTGTCTTGATATACATCAACCCCCTTTAACCACACCTGAGTTTATATTGATGAGGTAACTTTGGAAAGCATCTAAGGATGACGATTTGGTTGCCAGAGAAAGTAACCATGTGATTAGTGTGTTGGGATTTTCAGTCTCACCTCCATAACCTCCAGGTTGGAGAAAGGGGCTAGAGGTTGAAGCAGTCATCAATGGCTAGTAATTTAATCAATCCTGACTGTATAATGATGAATTCCTGAAAACATAAAAGGATGGATATTTGGAGAGCTTTTAGGCAAGTGAACATGTGGTGATGGGGGCGTGTCGTCCCAGAGAGACCAAGGAAGCTGAGTCCCTTCCCACATGCCTTGCCCTCTTCATCAGGAAGTTCATCTGTATCTTTAACAATACTCTTTATAATAAACTGGTAAATATAAGTGAATGTTTCTCTGAGTTCTGTGAGCCAGCTAGCAAATAAATCAAACCAGAGGAGAGAGCCACACAAACCTCCAATATATAGCCAATTTGTTAGAAGCACAGAGGACTACCTGGACTTGTTATTGGTGTCTGATGTGGGTAGTCTTGTGGGACGGAATCTTTAATCTGTGGGATCTGTATAGTGTCAGAATTGAGTCAATTGCTTGATGGTTTTGGAGAAAACACATATATAAGAGTTTCACATAGGAGTTTTTGAGGTTAAGGGTAGAGGAATATAGGTTTAAGAGCAAAGAGGAAATAGAGTCCTAGCCATAATAACATTCAATAATTTGTCGGATAAATTTGTGGATGAGATCTAAAGAAACTTCTCTTAAAACTTTGATAATAAACACTTCACAAATATTAATATTCCAATAATCATTGAAATATCCTAAATTCAAATGAAAATGATTTTGAACATCTCTGTTTAGTACATGTGGCAGATTATACTCTTGTTCTGTATATTGGCTGTACCTCCCTGGGGAAAAGATAGTGTGTTAAAAGAGGAATTGTCAGGAGTTGAAAAAGAAATAAAGAGGCAAATTATCACCAAAACCGGTTTGGCTCAGTGGATAGAGTGTCGGCCTGTGGACTTAAAAAAAAATATATATATATATATATAAAAGAGGTAAATTATGAAAGTCCTTCAGTTTCATACTAGACTATTTGTCATGATGGGTAGCATATTTAAATTGTGTGTGTATGAAAAATAAAAAGATCAGATTTTTATTTTAGAAAGAGCATTCTTGTTGCCATGTGGTGCACGGACTGGATAGAGGCAAAAAGAAAGAGGGGATGTTGGTGACATTTGCAGATGACATAAAGTTGGGTGGAGTAGTTACAGTAATAGATGACAGAAGCATAATTCATAATGACTTCACCAGATCTGGAGATTGAATCCAACCAATAGGATGAAATTCAACAGGAAAAAATGATTAAATTCAGCATTTGTGTATTTCACACACACACACAAAGTCAATTGAGAAAGTGCAAGAAAAATTCCCTAAAACTTGTGGTGGTGGATGTGGTCATGATTTAGGTGACCACACGTTAAATCCATGCCAACAATATACTAAAGAGCAGAGCCTTTGGCTCAATGGATAGAAACAAAATGCCTGGCCCATGGGAAATAACTCTGTCTCCTATCTGACAACCACAAACTTCTCTTGACCTTTTCCCATCCACTCCTCCACCACTTTATCAAACAAAAAATCTATTAGTCTCTGATGGTATAAAGACCAGTGCATGTAATGGAAGTTTTTGCATAAAGACTTTTTATGTATTGAACCTCTACACACGCTTTTCTAAAAGCATTCAAATTATATGCTTGCTGGTGTTTGCCTCCACTGGACAGAGAACAGAGAACCCCTTGAAGAAATAGTTTCCATTCCTTCTTGTGTTCCCAGTCCCTAGCACAGGGCCTGACACAGTCCAGGCATGTAATACCAATGAAGAAATGAGTGAATGAATGAATGAATGAATGACCAAAGAGAGTTAAATAGAGTGTTAATGTGAAAAGAGCTGAAGGGACACATGCAGATAGGCATTCTATAGACAGGTATGGAGAACAGTTGTAACATGACTTAAAAAGAAAATAGACAACCTTATATTGTCTTCTCTGAGAAGTAAATGGTCCATTACCAACACTTGAGTTCTTTCTACAACCCTAAAGCGTATGTGCACACCCAGCAGCAGTCCCTCCTGAGCTCCCTTGTAGCCCCAGCTGCCTTTCCTGGGAGCCTCCCTCCTCTGTGATCTTTGAGGGATTTGTGTCCCTCCCTAGGGATTGTTCCATAGGAGAAGTCACTGGAGTGATGACTGGGGAGTCCATTCTTCTGGCGTAATCACAGCTGGGCATCAGATGTCAGAGCCCAGGATGGATAAACATGCATTCTCTGTTCAGGTTAGAAAGCTGTGAGTACCCTGTCTGGCAGCCAGAATAAACCAAGAAGACATGATGAAAGCTCTGGTTAAGGGACAAGCCCTATGCTGCCTCCTGAGAGCCAGTGCTACTTTCAGTGCCACTGAAAGCCTTTCTCTGCACAGCTTCAGGGGGAGGACAGAGAGGTGTGGAGTGGTCTGCTTTCCAGAGAGGGGCAGCCCTTTCTAGATTTTACCATCTTGCCTGAGAGTGCTTTATTACCAGTTCACCTAATTATCCTATGCTTACTTGATAACAAAATGAAAGCATGGAAACTAAATACATATTATGTGACACTTTAAAAGTCATGAAAGCAAAATCATAACCTAGCAAGGCTTATGCTCCCAGTGGCCATACAGGGACTTTCTCTCTGTACCAAGGACTGTTAGGAAATTCTTTAATTTTTTAAAATATGTTTTTATTGATTTCAGAGAGAGGAAGGGAGAGCAAGATAGAAATATCTTTTGGCTGCCTCATGCACACCCACCACTAGGGATCAAGACCACATACTAGGCATGTGACCTTACTAGAATTGAACCAGTGACCTTCTGGTCCAGGGGGCAGCACTCAACCAACTGAGCCACACTGGCTGGGAAATTATTTAATGTTTAAAGTGATATCCTTTGTTTTATTGAGTGTTTTGACAGTGGAACATCCCTTACTATTTATGCACAGAGGAATAAGAGTGAGGCAGTTCTTGGCTCTCAGAATAAGCCAAGGCCATAGTCATGATTGTATTAGGTAGATGGATTTATTTTCTTCTCCGAGAGGGTCTAGAAGTGTCTAGATTAGAACTACATTCTGAAAGAATGAATAGGACCAGTGACAAAATAGGTTATTTATCCTTTGAAATTAAAGAAGTCAACTGGTGAATTTGTTTTTCTTTTTCTTTTTCCACTTGTCCTTAATTTTAGTATTCTTTAGAGACTATTTCTGAATATTAAAATAGTAAAAGCAACTGGTCTCAATTACTATCGTTGCTATTAATAGTAGTAGTAATAATTCTCTTTATAGGATAGTTGTTCTGTGGTCACAATATGCTATTAACCTTATCTACACTAATAAAAGACAAACATGCAAATTGACCATACCTTCGCTATGCCTTAAGCCATGCCCACCAGCCAATCAGAGCAACTATATGCAAATTAACCCAACCAAGATGGCGGCCAGCAGCCACGGAGCTGAAGCAAGCAGGAGGCTTGGTTGCCCCAATGATGGAGGAAGCCAGGCTTCCCACCTGCTGCAGCCAGCTCTGAGCTCCACTCAAAGCAACCAAGTTTCAATTATAGAAGGTAAATAAACCCAGATACCTGCTTTCAGCTGGCCGTGGCCATGGAGCTGGAGCGAGCAGGAGGCTTCCCTCCCACCCACCCTGGCTGGCTCTGAGCTCCATTCAGGCAACAAAGTTTCAATTATAGAAGGTAAATAAATCCCAGAATTAAAAAAAAGAAAAAGAAAAAGAGGAGAGGCTGGGAGCTTTTGTCGCTGGGGGGGCTTGGCTAGCCTGAAAACAGCCCTCAGCCCCTCACCCAGGCTGGCCAGGCACCCCAGTGGGGACCCCCACCCTGATCCAGGACACCCTTCAGGGCAAAGCAGCCGGTCCCCACCCATGCACCAGGCCTCTATCCTATATAATAAAAGGGTAATATGCAAACTGACCCTAACAGCAGAATGACTGGGAATGACTGGTCACTATGACACACACTGACCACCAGAGGGCAGACACTCAATGCAGGAGCTGCCCCCTGGTGGTCAGTGCGCTCCCACAGGGGTAGCTCTGCTCAGCCACAGGCCAGGCTGATGGCTGCCAGTACAGCAGTGGTGGTGGGAGCCTCTCCCGCCTCCTCAGCAGCCCTAAGGATGTCAGACTGCAGCTTAGGCCTGCTCCCTGCTTGCAAGTGGACATCCCCTGAGTGCACCTGGGCTGCCAGAGGGATGTCTGACGGCCAGCTTGGGCCCGATCCCCCAGGGAGCGGCCCTAAGCCAGCAGGTGGTTATCCCCCGAGGGGTCCCAGACTGCGAGAGGACACAGGCCGGGTGGAGGGACTGCCCCCTCCCCAGTGCACAAATTTTTGTGCACTGGGCCTCTAGTATAATAATAATAATCTCACTTAACCTCACAAAAATTCTACTCTTAAACTCTGACCTACTCATGGTCAGGGTTCCATCATCATAGTAGCTCAATATGAATCAGTAAATCTTTTCTATCAGCATGTCAAATAGTAGCATAGCAACAGCAGTTCCAAATAATGGGTTATGCTCACATTTAAGTAAGTGTGACATATTGGTTCTGAGTCATGAGTATTTTCTTTAAAAGAACTACTCAGACAACTGTCTGTTGGTATTCTGTCTCAGAGCAGCTTTTCTTTTCTCTCCTTTGTTCTGCTCGGGGCTGGAAGCCTGAAACCTACATTTCCCTGATTCCCTTGCTAATTGGGTATCAATAGACCCAGTTTCCCAGGAACTGGATGTTTCCACTATGTGGGACATTTTCTGCTAAAACCGGAAAAGTCCTTGGCAAATGGGGATGAGTTGGTCACTTTACTTGGCAGCTCTATTTCTGTTAGGTTAGTGATAAGTGCTCACATAACATTAGAAGACCTGAGGAAGGTAGATGCATTTCTACTATGGGTACAAACATTAACACATATGTGGACTCATGGTCTCCTGATTAGCAGCAGGAACAGGAGTAGTGAAAGCAGAGGCTCGTTGTAGTTACAGACATCTGGGTAACATTGACTCCCCTCTTTTATTTCTTAGTCGTTCTAATATTTTGTAAATGAATCCCTATATTAAATTCCTCTTTGCCTGAAATACCTAAGCAGTTTCTATTTCCCTCACTGAGCATTGACTAT